CGAAAAAGGCCAACGAATTATACAATTGCGAATTATACAATTGCAGTGAAATACAATTTTCTCTCGCTTTATACAACAGAAGTGTATATATTGTGTTTCTGTTTTTGTATAAAGCGAGAGAAAAACATATATCTTCTTGCTATACACTTATAATTATGCAATATACATACATTTTAATTCGATTCAATTGTATACAAAGCAAAATTTATAAAAATATTGCAGCGAATTATACAATTGCAGCGAAATAGGCAGCGAATTTTACAATTGTGCATTATACAATTGCAGTGAAATAGGATAGCGAATTATACAATTGCAGCGAAATAGGCCAGCGAATTGTACAATTTAGGCCAGCGAATTATACAATTTTATATGTATAGCGAATTATACAGTTTTACGTTTGCTATTGAGCGCAATAATACAAACTTTGCTATAGCATACAAATATGAATTTTTTATTTGCTATATGTGAAAGTTTCCCGCAGTTTGTATTAGTTATGCTTTTATATATCATATATATTTTATATATTATTTAATTTGATATATTAATTAAAAACATATATTATATAAAATATTCATTTACAAAAGTATTGACCCATTGCATATATAATTCGGATGGAAAAGAGAGAGAGAAAAGGAAATGTTTAGTTTGCGTAACATCTTTGGCCTCTAAATGTTAAGAATTTGATATAATAAAGTTATTATATTCAACAATCAAATTCTTCCTCATCCTTTTCTATATAATAGGATCAATAAGTATCCTATAAATAACATCTTTCAAGTTATTTTTGGGAAAAGTATAAGCATCTTCATCTTTATATATGAACTCAATTACTCTTGCTAGATTAATTATACACATGAGCAAAACCCTTGGTATAATAGTCCCATTCACTTTGAAGTATTCTTCATATAAATCCTTCCAGGAGTTTTCTATTGTATTTCTTATTTTTATGTGTGCTTCCTCCTTTGTAACGCCATATTCTTTCATATAACATTCGACACCAGAAGGTGCATCTCCTCGTTTTTGCTCTTCCTAATATGAAATAAGAAAAAGAAATTTAGATACAAAGATAGTCTTAGAGATACAAAATTATATTCTTATACCTCACCTCATGTGATAAAAGATCATTGAGTAGTCTTGCAATGATAGAAGAAGCAACAAGTATTGGAGGTTCATTTACTATCCAATCAAATGAATCTTTAGTTGCTACATTTCCCATGCCTAACCATGAAGTAGTTGCTACTTGTACATAAGCACTTGTTGAAATTCCACTCTTCATGTATTCTTCCATTTTTGGTATTGTCTTACCATAATACCATTTTGCCTCTTGAAAGTAAGCCATCACCATCTTTTTCATCTAGGAAAAAAAATAATATATTAATTTAAGTATATGTTATTTGCTACTTTATTAATTTATAATTGGGAAAAAGCTCATGACATCGAACTTTCAGAAAAGGCTCATTTATGTCATAATTATTTAAGAAAAAACTCATTCATGCCATTATTTTTTAAAGGTGGTTTTGTAAATTAAACCACGTGGCCAATTATGATTCGGACACATTATCAGTTTTTTTAATTAAAAAAATCATAATTCTGAAAAAAATTGAATTAATTTTTTTATTATTATTAAATAAATTGATGACATGGCCGAATCATAATAGACCACATCATCAATTTTTCAATAAAAAAATCAAAATTCTGAATAAAAATTGAATTATTTTTTTTTGTAAAAAGAAATTGATGACGTGGCCGAATTATAATTGGTCACATGTCAAAAATGATTTTGCAAAACCACCGTTAAAAAATAATGGCATGGATGAGCCTTTTCTTTAACGGTAAATGACAAAAATAAACAAAACTTTTAACTGATAATATAAATAAGGCTTTTCTGAAAGTTTAATGACATATTTGAGTCTGTTCCCTTTATAATTAAGTACCTCTATTATGGAATAGTTGATTAGAAATGACTTGTTTTCATTTGCCAAGTCTTTCTTAATTTCATCGTAAACATCTAGAAGACCACAATAAATAATCTTCATATATGATGGTAATTGTAATTGTTGGGAAGCATCAATATTCCACCTACATATATATAAAAGATCAGCAATTATAAAAAAAAAAATGTTGTAAAACTATCGATATATATATATTTACAACATAACAAGATTTATTACCTTTCAATTGCCTCTGTGAATAGAGTAAGTTCATCTAGTGTCCCATAAATATCATATGTGTCATCAATAAGAGAAATCATGGATATGTTTTTTGTTAATATCTTCCTAGCAGTGCTATACTGAGGTTCAAAGTAGACACCTAAACTCCAGAAGTAAACCTCAGCCAATCTATCTCTTACATAAGGTAATGTCTTCACTATTTCCAATTCTTTCCACCACCTACGCAAAAATTTCACGTTATTTGAAGTTTAAAAATAATATAAATACTCACCAAAGATTTAGGTGAATGGTGACTATTTACCTTGTGATATCACATAGCTCTTTTTTATGTAACATTTGCAAGATATTGAAGTCTAATTTGGCAAAGTTTAGTAAGAGTTGATTGTGATTTTGATTTTGTTGGTAAAATGATATGTATTTCCTTGCTTCTACCCTCACAATACCATCTTTTATTGGAAACTTGAGTGCGTTAGCAACTTGTTGTGCAAGTGGGGAGTTGCTCAATTTAGGCAAAATTAGTTTCAATTGAGTAGTGGTGAAATTCAGTGCTTCATCCAGAATTTCTTCACCGTGTACTCTGAATTGTGCTGCCTCATATAAGCTTAACATTCCATGCACGTCGTTGATCAATTTCCTTGATCGTCAGTGAACTTCTTATAAGCATCTGCTTAAAAAAAACAAAAAATGTTATAAACAAGTAAAAGAAGACATTCTGGATCGATCCAAAAACATACAAATATCAGTGATCGATCAATGTATGTAGTATTCTACGTAAATGATACATGTTTGACTACTTTTACAACTTTATATGGAACTTTAGATGGTTTACAAATTATTTAAATATGAAATTTAGGGTATCCTGATCCTAACCCTTTAACATGGATGCAGATGTCGAGTGTGGGTCAGGATCAAGTTAAGCTTTGAGTCGAGGTAGGATCTTGGGTCGAGATAGTAATAGGTAGTTGGATCCTGGGTCGAGGTAAGGGGTTAAGAGTGGATAGTCATAGTCAAGCCTAGGTTGGGGTCATGATCAATAGTTGGGTCTCAACTCAAGGTCGAGGTCAAGAGACTCTGGTGGAAATTGGGAGTCAGGCCCTGAGATCAATTTTGAATCGTAACTAAGGATCCGACTCCCGATATCAGAATTCGAATCCCCAAGTGATATGCATAAAAAGTGGTCAATATTGGATCTACTAGGTGGATAGATGTTATTGGTAGATTTAGGATAGTTTTGTACATTTCAAATAGTTCAAGGGTATTTTAGGTCATCTTCCATGAAGACATCGGACAGATAAGATAGATCATACTTTCATAAATTAATTTTTTCATCCGTTTTATATTGTATGATCGATACTTACCACATGAGACACGATAACCTTGTTGCCTAAGTAATCGGAAGCATAGAGCAATAGCATGAAGGTCATCAATCCAATATTCTTCATAATGAGTGCACATGTAACTCTCAATCTCATGTTCAAAATGATAAGCTACACCAAGACATTGGATTGTGTTGATGAGTTCAAGTTTTTCCAAAGCATTTGAAGGAGCCATCACTAGCATCTTTCTCACTTCTTCTTTTAGGTCTTCATGTTGCTTCTCTTCCTCCTCACTGGCTCCCTATTTTATAATTACTCATGATATATCGTATGAATTTGTTCAGTATATTAACGATATAAAAAATATTTATTTATTTACCGAGAGATTAGCATAGGCAAGAAAATGGTCTCCCCAGACAGTAGGATGATGACTGCCAACGCGGCGTGTTATTTCAACCTCATGATCCGCTGGAACGGTTTGTGTGCACAGCTCCATTTTTCAGAGGGAGTTGCATAAACTGTCTTGTAAAAGAAATATATCAACCAAATTTTGAACAAACATGAGTTAGGTCAAAAAACTTCGTATTAGAGAAAAGTATACTACCTATATATTAAATCTTAAGAATACGAAATTTCTTATTTTGTCACTAAGATCAGCATGATGCACTCAAAAGTTCCATTAACACCTTTTTTTTTAAGGTAACCCTGAGGGATAGCTCGGCTGGTAAAGGCCTGAGGACAAAGTCCTTCATGTCGTCAGTTCGAGCCCCAGCAGGGCCACTGGAGGCATTATAAATATGTCGGGCCCCGTGGAACTAACCGTGGTGAACCCACCTTGAAACAGCGGGATCCGGTGGGTACAGCTAGTCGGGTTCACAAAGCGATACCCAAAAACCACGGCAAAAAAAAAATTCCTATTTTTAGATAATTTGTGTTTGACTAATTCACTTAAAAAGTGTTTTTCATAAGCAAATTGCGTTTGATTGAACTTTTTAAGAAAAAAGTGCTTTGGAGAGTCAAATTACAAAAAATGACAACTATTAATGTACTTTTTTTAAATTATTTTATAGTGAGAAACTATTTCAAATAATTAAATATTAAAAAATTAATTAAATTTTTATTTTTATTGAATTCAAATTGTACATGTTTAAATTTTCAATAAATATTATAACTTTTTGGGAGGTTGAATCTGTAATTGTTATTCTTTTATTTTTTCTAATATTGTAAAATTATTGTTCTTACTTTTTTTTTCTAATTCTGCAAAATAATGCGTAAAATAATATATAATATACAAAATAATAATAAATAAATTATAAAATTTATTATATAAAAAAAATTAAAGTTCTTCAATGAAATTTAATCAAACTTATGAAATATGCTTATCAATAAATAAGAAATATATCAGTAAATATGTTTACATGAAAATGATGTTTTAGTCTTTCAAAAAATATTTTTTTGTTTTTGCTTCTATTTTTTAAAAAGTAAAAAAATATAGATTCTTTCGAACAGCAGAAAAATCTGCTTATGCTTCTATCTAATACACTTTTATTAATTGTCAAACATTTAAATTTTTAATATAAAAATATATATTTTTTTAAAATAAATATTTTTTTCTCAAAATAAGTATTTCTAGTCTCCTACGGTAATGCGAAACAGGCTCTTAGTAGTACTCCACTTATTAAGCTACTTCTAGATCTGAAAAATTAAACTGCAAAATAATAAAGGAAAAATTACATGAATTAATATATTTTAAAAAGTAATTACTGATTTTAGCGATACTTTTTGTTTATTAACATTTATTGTAATATTGTGATAAATCTATAATATATATTAAAAGTGAATTATTTATGTAATGTATTTGAATTATAATTGTTTTTGAAATATATTATGTTTGTTTGGTAAAAAATTATCACATAGTATTATAAGTGTATTAAAATGTGTGATAAATGTATTATCCATATTAAAACTTGTATTATATTTGAATAATAAATTTATCTTTGTAATATGTATTAAACTTGTATTACAGATGAACTAAAAATGGTCAAGTGAAAAAAAATATTATTACTATAAATGGTAAATATTTTTTTATTATAATATATTTACGTAAGTTTCCAATAATAATAGCAATACCTTATAATGATGTTTTCTTCAATTTATATTAGCAATTTATACAATATAGCATGATGAGACCATTCCTATTTATAATGGATGCTTTAGAGGTTTTGTAAAGACAAACTTACACGTCATTCATCTCACCATTTTTTTCTTCTTCTATTCAATAATTAATTTATATTTTTTACTATTTCTTTTATGGATCTATTAATTTATTATTATTTGAGTTTTTTTATTTTTATTTAATATTTTTAGGATAAAAATATGAAAAAGAAAAAGAAAATAGTGTGAATGAAAAAATAAAAAATAATAATTAATAAGTGAAAACAAATGGGACATCTATGATAAATTTACAAGAAAATGAATTTAAAAAAATCGACCATCAAAATAATAAATTTTAAAATTTTTTAGATACTATTAATTTATATAATTATTTAACACTAAAAATAATACAAATTCTTTTTAATTAAAAGGATAAATAAAAAGAAAATATTTAATGATATAGAAACCAAATATACATATTATTCGTTGATCTTTGGCTTTATTTGTTTGCTTTTAATGAAAATTCGAATTCTCATCATTATTTAGTTGAGTATTAAATATATTTGATTTCTAGGCCTGAATTTTAATAATTCAGAATCAGTTCATTAAGTTTATTGATATCTTTTTTAAAAGACTATTAATGAATTTGAACAAATCAAATTTAGGAGAGTCTTAACAATATTCAAACTTAATATGATATGCTACATTCCAGGGCGGACCCACGTGTATCCCTACGGGTGTACGTGCACTGGTTAACTTCAAAAAATTACATATATATATGTATATATACACACCTTGAGATATACATATATTTTATTAGGCACTCAAAGACACAAAAGCTAATCGGGTTAGCTGGTTTAGATGCTGAATTTCATTGAGGAGGTCTGGGACTGAATCTCCATATGCTCATTTCTTGTTTTTTTTAATCCGTTTTTAGCTATGAAGTTTAAAAATATTGAATAAGAAATAGGAGGATGGCTAGTTTTGAACTTTCAACTTCATTTTTAATCTGTTTTTATTTATGAAGTTTAAAAATATCAAGTGAAATAGGAGGATGACTAGCTTTGAACTTTCAACCTCATGGTGCAAAGTGAAATTTAAAACCACCACGTCACATAACACATTATCAATTAGAGTCATCTAATTTATTTATACATGAATATCGTAGTTTTATATTCCATATAAATCAACATTGGATAAATACTTTAACTATCATGCATTAATTTTGGTGGTGCACCCGTCGTCTTCAAATTCTGAGTTCGCTTTTGTTACTTTCACAAAATAATTACATTGTTTCTCTTTCTCTCTCTCCAAACGTTTTTTCCCCTCTCTTTTTCAATCAAATATGAAAAAAATTGAGTGAGAAAATACTAGTCATGATTAGTAAGAATAACTATATATTACCTTATATATAAGTCAACAACAAAAAGGACTAACACTACAGACTTAGTTGTATAATTTGTTATGTGAGTTGTGTGTATATATATATATATATATATTAAATATTAAAATTTACCTTTATTTACTTTATCAATATTTAGGAATCGATTCTTATATTAATATTTAGGAATCAATTCTTTTAGTGATAGGAGAAACAATTTATTAAAAATGGATTTAACTATTATATTTATTTCCCCAAATTATTTTTGGAATGACTGTCAATTGTCACATGTCTAATATTTATATTAATGACTTAAGTTTAATTAATTAAGGACCGCAACAATAATTTATGTAGAGTGGAAAAATAGGCAATCAATTGAGAGCTATAACAATAATCAATGGTGGCTATTCTCAAAGAAATTGGCTACAAGTGCAATTCAAAATTAGGCTATATATAAGCCAACAACAAAAAGGACTAACATTGCAGTACTTAATTGTACAATATGTTATCTAAGTTGTACCATTTATATTTTATCCATATTTACCTTTATTTTACCTTATCAATATTTAGGAATCAATTCTTATAATGATAGGAGAATCATATTTATTGAAAAAGGATTTAATTATCTTTATTTTCTCAAATTATTTATGGAATAATTGTCAACTATCACGTGTCTAATATTGATATCAATACTTAGGTTTAGTTAAATAAGGACTTCAACAGTAATTTATGTAGAGTGGGAAAATATGCAATCAATTGAGGGCTATAACAATAATCAATGGTGGCTATTTTCCAAAGAAATTGGTTACAATTGCAATTCAAAATTAGGCTATATATAAGCCAACAACAAAAAGGACTAACATTGCAGTACTTAATTGTAAAATATGCTATGTGTGTTATACTATTTATATTTTATCCACATTTACCTTATCAATATTTAGGAATCAATTCAATTCTTATAGTTTTAGGAGAATCATATTTATAGAAAAGAAATTTAACTATCATCTTTATTTTCTCAAATTATTTCTTGAATGAGTGTCAACTATTTTACATGTTTAATATTGATATCAAATGACTTAGATTTAATTAATTGAGGACTATAACAATAATTTAGGTAGAGTGAGAGAATAAGTAATTAATTGACGGCTATAACAGTAATGAATGGTAGCTATATTTCAAAGAAATTGACTAATAATGCAATTAAAAAAAAAATTCAAGACTTCAAAAATGATATAACCCATGCGTGCTACAGAGAAAAAAAAGCATATGGATTTTGCTTCTTACCCTAAATTTAAGTCATCCAAACCCATCCGATGGCTATAATACAATTAACCTTTTCACTTCGAGGCCAAATAAGCTTATATGACAGTAATTTAAAAATTTGTATTATAATAAAGCAAGAACAAACATACATCACACAATCATAGAATCACAATCATCGTATACCTCGAAACAAGCTTGAAATTCTAAGAAAATTGATCCTTCCTTTTCCGGATTTATTTTACTTGTTCTTAATCTATACACAATCATAATACCACTGGAATCAATAAACAATAACTAATAACCCCGATTACCAACAATTCTATGAACCCTAAATCAACCCAAGATTCCAATTAGGATTGTTTCCACCATAAATTCTAGATCAATCTCCTCCCCTCTCCCCCCCCCCCCCATGTATTGAAAACAAATTTGTGGAGTTAAAATCTTGCCTTTAGCCTTATATAGTGGAAAATTGTCAAGAAAAGGCCTGAGTTGCATCTAACCCGCCATAGCGGCCATCACCCGCTACAGCGGCTTCGCCCTGGCGATCAAAAATCACCGCCAAGGAGGCTTGCACAAAATAGTGAGCTATTTTAATAAATACAATACCCCCATTTCACAACACACCTTCAACAAACGACACTCAGAAACTACCTGTTCATGCTAAGATCAATTTCGGGAGTTCTACTCGCTTGAATTTAATTTCGTAAAGTATTACGGGTTCCTTAACGACTTATCTGTCTACTCATGTAATCAAAATCATAATCAAATCATCTGATTGTTACCATATTTTCCTACACCTTAATGACTCCAATTTCTTCCAAATCTGAAACTTTTCCGACCCAAAAATTTTTCCCGTTAGCTTTTCTATAACGATGAAACCCGATTGTTACACAAATTTAGAGGCTAGAGGCGGACCCATATTCATCAATAGGGTATATGTGTACCTGTTATCTTTTGAAAAACTTATTGTGTATATGTATATTTATCTTTGAGAAGATTTGAGATCACAAAAATCAATTGAAAAGATTTGGAACTTGAAAGTTTAAAAAGGAAAAGGGATAAAACAATTTTGGAACAAGAAGGAAAGGAAACATAGCTTTCTGTTTCCATTTTAAATTGCGAAGAAAACAAAAACTTTTGGTCTTAAGTCACAAGTGAAATTGAAGTAGTTGTAAACAACGAAGATTGCAGCAAGGGTTCAAATTGATTTGCGTTGTTTCGTCGGAATCAAAGGAAGAGTGAGAAAGAACAAGATAGGGACAAATGGAGTTATTATTCCATTGCTTAACGACATTTTGGAGCCGGGCGATTTTGGTTTATCATGTGAACTTATTGATGGAGCAAGAAAGAAGCCATTGTTGTTGATCTTAAATTTTTTTCTTCAATATGTGAAGAAGTTGATGCGAGAGAAAGAGAAAAGAGGGGTTTGTTGTTATTTGTTATTCCGTATAGTGAGTCGGGTTTGGGTTAAAATAGATAATTGGGTAACTTTTATTGAAATTGGGTTAATTTGAATTGATTTTGGGATTTCTTCAATAAAGGCACACAAATGATGAAATTGATAATGGCAGTGGTAAAAATAACTTCGTTTCAATGTTAAGGGCATAGTCAACTAAAAAACTAAAGTTGAAGGGTATTTTCAACCCTTTTTTCAAAAATATATCGTAAAATGTAAGTCAAAATTCTTATAATTTGACTGTAAAAAGGAAACCATGACAATTAAGATTGGACGGAATAGCACCATTCTCACAAAGGTAAGCGTGTCACACATGCGCCATATCAATGCCATCTCACTGCCAAAACAGATGTTATGTCATATTTTGAATAAAATTATATATGTCATTCAATTGTTCATTCTTCAATACACACCACCATGAAATCACAATCATTTCAACTATATTAGTACCGTATCAATATATTTCACCATAAAAATCAAAACTATCGCCATAAGTTTCACCACTGTAATCAAATCCACCTTAAAAATCACACTATCACTATCGTCCCCACAAAAATTATAAAGATCCACCACTCTCCTTCCTACACCAATCTCTCTTGTCATATACACATACATATCCGTACCAGTTCCATATATACAATTATCTGACATATATATTTATATATATATACAGTTTGCCTCTCTCCTCTCTCTCCAGTCTCTCTCGCCAGATATACAAATACATATGTATACGAGTTACATATATACAATTCTTTTTCAGATACACATAAATTGGATAGATATAAATATACTATTCGCCTCTCCACTCTCTGCCCTCTCTCACTCACCTATTTCCTCCCTCTCTCGATCTCGCTCGCCTCTCGCCTCCCTCTAACATGTAGCTATGAATCATAATTAGCAAACTATAGTGATGAAGCATAATAAAGTTATTTTTTAATGGCTATATACATGTAAAAATTCCCCTTTTATTATTGATTTATTGGTTTTGGAGATTGATCAATCTTGATAAAATGATATTGCTTATGATCATAATCTATATTGCTTGAATTCTTCAAAAATTACTAACAGGTACGTGTGCGATCCGCCTCTATATGTATATTTACTTGACATATTGATTTCCTAACTATCCAACCTCACAAAGAAAAAAATAAAAGTTTTAATATACACTATTCATCAACTGAAACTAAACTAGTATTTAGTCAAGAAGATCTTTTGTTGAGTGTATTTGAAATGAGATGCATATGTTTATTTGTGTCTCGGTATATATGGTATACAAGTGATACAAGAGGGAGAATAAATACAAGAGATCTTAGAACTTTAAATATAAGTCATACAAAAATAAATTATGACAAGTGATACAAGAGCCTTGAATACTAGTGATAAAGGTGTGAATTAATATAAATGGTACAAGACTTATAACTCAGAATTCAAACCTTTAATGAACAAGTAAAAATCATGTCCTCCTCCGAACTCACTAATTGCATAGCGTAACGGGGCAAGACATGAAACTTAGCCTCATAAGCATTCACATTCATGTTGCCCTACTCAAGATTCATAAACTCATCCTTATTCGTTATCTTTCAAGGTGCGAGACTCATATTTCTCCAAGTACAGTATGTGAAACTGTGTCCAAGTAAGTGGACGCAAGATTGATGATTGACATTCCACAAAATCTCTCCACCACTGATTTGCCTCTGAAGTTGAAAGGTCGTAAACTTTACCACATAAGGATGCATAATACCAACTTAAGAGGCCTTTCATAATAGTTCGAGATGAACTCAAAAGCATCTTCACTCTCAGAACCATAGAACACCGGAGGCTTAAACTTCAAGAAATTGGTTAGCATCTCATGTTCAGTACCAGTCATCACACGACTAAGTAGTGGACAAAATAGAGAATTAGTGTCCGAGACTCCATCCATCTTAATATATTTGTACCATTGTAGGGAACTTTACTAGATATGTTTTAGTACGACGAGATCAATAAATCTAGGACTCTGATGTCAAAATTGTCATAACTTAGACTGTCGTGAGTGACAACCACACTACCCTTCAATCGGAGAACCAACTATCAATTCAAATCTTAACCCAACATCATTTACAAACATTCTATCATCATGACAAAAAATTTTTGACAAGTAAAGAATTGAGTGTAAAAAATATTTCTACAGAAATAAACTCCTAAGACTGGAAGGTCATGGTACCAAATCTCTTAATGTCTAAAACAAAGGGGATGTAACCCTGAGCTTAAAAATAATAAACCAATAGACTAATAATGTCTTAGTCCGGAAAGATTGATAAAAAATATAACTTCATGAAAGACTGAAAAAATATATCACCCTTGGATTCGAAGTCAGCTTCCCTTAACTGAGATTTTGGATCAGCCGTCGAATAATGTCACATATTCAATATGAAAAGAACACATGTAGTATTAATACGTAAATCAAAGTGTACTAGTAGGATCATACGGTAAATCTAAAATATGAGTGTAAGCAGCTATCACTTTATAGTAATACGGAACAACAAATAACAATTATTAACTCAATAAATAGCTGGACTCATGTCTCATATGATTATAAATGCAAATGTTCAATCCTCTCATGGAACCATAAACACATACTTGGTCCTCTCATGAAACTCAAGCTCAATATGTTAATGTATCGGCGTGATACCCAAGTCATCCTTAATTAGTGTACTAGCGTGGTACCTAAGCTAACTGTTGTATATATATACCAAGCATGGTATCTGATCCAACCATAGGGATATCTTGTATCAGGCATGGTACCCGAGCCAATTATCAAACACAAATAATAATACACAATTACAAACATCATAAACATAGTAATTAAAACCACATGTCACATAAGTTCATTGCATGAGATTATCAACAGGTTGTCATTACATATGCTTCCATATATTTTCTCCTCCATGCATTGTACAAATGATACTATAAAGTAATAGACATAAATACATACATAAATTGAAAAACATACAACCATCACCTACCCCCAATCAAGCCTCTTGAAAAATTTAAAGAACCTGAGTTTTCCCTTTTGAAGTGTCTTGATTTGTTCTTGGTCTAAAACAATAAATAAATGCAACAATCAATCATAAAGGATTTTTAATCTCTGGATTATAACCAAATCCTAACCCTGTGCTAATTCATGATCATTCTCCCCAAATTATATCTGGAATGGTCTAGTTTAAAAATTTTAAGTCACTATCTAGAAAGTTATTTGGCCCAAATTATTTCATCATTGGCTTAATGATAACAGTCAGGATGGGTCGTTATAAATATTAAGTGAATTGTTGAAGTATGACACACTTTTTTTAAAAAAAAATCACTTACGAACAAAAATTAAAAGTTACTTTTCACTATTACCCTTTTGATTAATACTAAATTATAATTGTAGAAATTATAAAGTAGTTAAGAATCTCATCAAAAGATGCTAAATATGAAGAAGAATTTCTTTTTATAATTCTCTTGAACTGTTAAAAAAAAAATTATTTTGAACTATGAAAATAGTTTCAACAATGTACTTAATGTTAACTAGAGGTTGTATAGGCGTCAAATGGGCATATTGGTTGGACCTAGAGATATTAAATATGTTTAAATAGAAATAGGGTTGGGTCATGAGTCTCATGACACAACAAATATTTTTTGGGCTCAAATGGTCAAAAATTGAGTAGGTTCATGACTCACTCAATTTAATCCGCTTAATCTCGATAATCTTAACATATTGTTATTTATCTTTATAACTACAATTTGAATTTCAACTCAAAAAATAAATACAAATGGATAGTTAAATCCTAGAAGATATAAAATAGATAGTAATTCATATCTTCAATATAAAAATATACATTACACCAATTCAATTAAAGAGTTTTAAAACGGTTTGAAATTGAAGATTAAATAGGGCTAAATTGAAGATTCTTTTAAAATGAGCTTAAGAATTGAATGGGTTGAGATTGACCCAATTTAAATTATGTATAAATAACAAAAATCCCATAGTGTTAAAAGTTAATTATATTATTTCTCCACTCTTTTTCAAATTACAAAAATTCCTTAAAATTTTTGAATTT